TGCTCATGGTCCTGGCTCTTGTGTAAGAACCCCGACTGCACAGCCCTTTACTTCTGCTGTGTGAAGGCAGAAGGGTTGGGAGAGTTGGGGAGTGCTAGTGTACGGGCTGTTTCTAAGGCCGCCTTGAATGGGGGAAGAATTGTTGGTCTATGGGGTCAGCTAAGTTTCCTTTTGTAAGTTTATAAGTGGTTTGGTTAGTAGGGCAGAACCTGGTATTCCAGCCTACACCACCTAGGAGGAAGAGAAGCTGCTGTATAGTGGTTGGGGTTGGGGTTTGGGAAATTAACTGAATACAGGCAGGGAGATCTCCTGTGTGTATGCTGGCGAAGGAGTATACTGAGATAGGTAACGGATGGGGAAGAAATTTGGGCTTTAGAAAAAAAGCATTTTTGAGGTCAAGAACAGAGTAGTGAGTTGTGAAAGGGGGTATGGAAGATAGGAGGGTATAGGGGTTTGGTACAACCAGGCGGATGGGAAGTACAATCCGATTGATGAGGCAGAGGTCTTAGACTAGCCTGTAGAATTTGTCTGGTTTTTTGGACAGGTAGGATAGGGGAATTGTAAGGAGAGTTAGTGGTAACTAAAAGGCCATGTTGTAGTGAGTAATAACAGGCTTTAGGCCTTTTAAGGCCTTTGTGCTGGGATGGGCTGCTGGCGCTGGACAGGATAAGGGTGGTTAGGTTTTAAGGGGATGATGAAGGGTGAGTGAATTCTGGCAAGGGATGGGGAGGTGGTTTCCCACACCCTAGGGTTAAGGTTGGGGGACATACAGGGAGCTACTGAGGGAGGTATGAGGTATGAGGAGGGCGGCAATGAGGTGTGGCTGTAGCCCAAGAATAGTTAAGGCGGACAATTTTGCTAGGATATCTTGGCTTATCAGGGGAACTGGACAAGTGGGGACCTAAGATTAGGGAAGAATGTGGAAAGGAGTGCTGGCCTAATTGACACCAGATTTGGGGAGTTTTGAGAGGCCTGGAGGCCTTGCCGTCAATTTCCACAACAGTTATGGAGGCCAAGGAGACAGGTCCTTGTAAAGAAGGTAGCATGGAGTGGGTGGCCCCGTGTTGATTAAGAAGGGGATGGACTTACCCTCCTCGGTAAGAGTTACCCAAAGCTCGGTGTCCGTGAAGGTCCAGGGGCCTCTGAGGTGTTCAGGCAGCATCAGTCTTCAGCCACTAAGCTGAAGAGAGCAGGGAAAGAGCCTGAGGGCTATGGGGTTGGGCCCCTGGAGCCTTAGAGACAGTGGTTTGAGTCGGGCAGTCTGACTTCCAGTGAGGTCCCACACAGATGGGACATGGTCTAGGAGGAATCCCTGGCTGTGGGCATTCCTTGGCCCAGTGGCCAGGTTTTCGGCATTTGAAGCAAGGCTTTCGGGGAGGAGGTTCTGAAGAGAAGCCTGGACACTATGGGCCTGATGATCTGAAACTTCTGTGAGCTGAAGGAGAGGCTGGGGTCTGTCTGACAGCTGAGGCAAGCATTTGTAATTCTGAAATACGCTGCTCCTTGGCAGCTTCTTCTCGGTTATTAAACACCTTAAAGGGGAGGTTGATTAGTTCCTGTTGTGGGGGCTGAGGGCCAGATTCTAATTTCTGTAGCTTTTTAAATGTCAGGGGCCGACTGGGTGATAAAATGCATATTAAGCATTCTTCAGGGGTGAGAGTAGAAGGATGATGTTTAAGTCACTCCAGGTAAGATAATAGGACTGAGTTAAATATTGGAACTCTTGTATATATTTAGTAGAATCTGATGAAAAGGAGCCTAACTGTTGGTCAGTTCGGAAAAGGTCAGATAAAGAGAAAGGAATGTGCACCCTAACTATGCCTTTGGCTCCAGCCACCTCTGGAAGGGGGAATTGTTGGGCAGGGGTGGAGGAGGTAGCCACAGAACTGAAGTGTAAGCTGGACCAGGTATGAGGTGGGGAGGTGACAGGAGGGGCATAAGGAAGTGGGTTGTGGGCAGAGGAAGAGGAGAGAGCCTGTGGGGGTGGGGGGGGATGCAGTTAGTGCCTGGTTTGGACAGGCAGGGAGGGGAATGGTCAGAAGAGTTGATGGACAAGGAGGATTCTGGGTTACCGGCAGAGGCAGGAGGGGTGGATGGAAGGTAGAGAGGGAAAATTTGGGACGAGTTGCATTGACAGCAGAGATTAGGGAGGGAATGGAGTGTACAAATGGACATCGGGCACCTTAGGCCATTTGCCCGTTCGTTGAGAAAAATTGTCTAGATCTCACAGAATAGAAAAATCGAAAGTGCTGTTTCTGGCCATTTGGAATCATTGTCTAATTTGTATTGAGGCCAGGCTGTGTTACAGAAAAAATTACACGTTTAGGTTTCAGTTCAGGCAACAGTTGAAGAGGTTTTAGGATGCAGGCTAGAGGCAAAGACAGAGGAATAGAGGACAGAATATTGCCCATAGCAAAGGAGATACGTTTTAAGGAAAGGAGTAGAGAAGACGAGAAGGAGCGAGCAGCTACCAGGGTCTTTAGTAGGCATTGCTGACTAAATCCTAGGCCGTAACAAGGTTGAGTGGTCAAGGCAGGCATCCCCTCGATTGACCAGCCACCAAGGGAAGACTGTCTTCCTGAATCTGTGACCAACATTCGAGGTTTTGAACCCATGGATAAAAGTGTATGTCATTTGTCTCTACTTAGAGAGGGAGACTTGTCTCCTGTTCTCTAAAGGAAAAGAAAGAGGAAAAGACTTGTCTCCTTTTCTCTACCTAGGAGAAAGATTGAAAGGAAAAGAGAGGGCCGGGCGTGGTGGCTCACGCCTGTAATCCCAGCACTTTGGGAGGCCAAGGCGGGTGGATCACTTGAGGTCAGGAGTTCGAGATCTGCCTGGCCAACATGGTGAAACCCCGTCTCTTAAAAAAAAAAAGGAAAAGAGAAAGAGGAAGAGGCTGCTTACCCAATCTGAAGATGGCAAGAGGGTTGTTGGGCTGGTCTGATGTACTGAGGTTGCAAACGGGTCTCTCCACAGAGGGAGAGCAGGGACAGGGGGCTGGTCTCCCCAAAGGGGAGTACCACTGTTCTGGGTTTCAGTACCAAATGTTAAGCACACTCTGAATGAAGAGACCCCCTAAACAGACTTTGTGTAAGCAACATGGCTGTTTATTCACTCAGGGGCAGGCTGAGTCCAAAAACAGTCAGCGGAGGGCAGTGGATATGAGTTGGTTTTATAGGTTTGGGGTAGGCAGTGGAAAGTTACAGAAGTTACAGTTCAGGGCAGTTTTTGCAAGCTGGGAGGGGGTCATTGAGTCCGGAGTCACAAGGTTGACCTATCAGTTGAGCAAGGTCAGATACAAAGTCCAGTTGCCTTATCAGTTGAGGCAGAAATAAGGAATAGAAGAATGTTTCAAAGCTGTAATCCCAGCACTTTGGGAGGCCGAGGCGGGTGGATCACAAGGTCAACAGATCGAGACCATCTTGGTCAACATGGTGAAACCCCGTCTCTACTAAAATTACAAAAAATTAGCTGGGCATGGTGGTGCGTGCCTGTAATCCCAGCTGCTCGGGAGGCTGAGGAAGGAGAATTGCCTGAACCCAGGAGGTGGAAATTGCGGTGAGCCGAGATCGCGCCATTGCACTCCAGCCTGGGTAACAAGAGCGAAACTCCGTCTCAAAAAAAAAAAAAAAAAAAAAAAAAAAGTTTCAAAGCGAATTAGGCACTGCAGGGTTGGTCATTCTTCTCTTTTTGTGTTTTTCCAGTTACTTCAGGCTTTCTAGTTCCAGGAACTCCTCTGGAGGTGTATGTGCAGGTCACAGAAGTTACCATGCCGTCCATGGCACAGTCGGCCTAAAAGACCTTCCATGTGGTCCAGGCACAGTGGCTCACAACTGTAATCCCAGCCCTTTGGGAGGTCAAGGCGGGAAGATCACTAGGTCAAGAGATGAGACCATCCTGGCCAACATGGTGAAACACCATCTTTTCTAAAAATACAAAAATTAGTCAGGCATGCTGGTACACACCTGTAGTCCCAGCCACTTCAGAGGCTGAGGCAGAAGAATTGCTTGAACCCGGAAGGCAGAGGTTGCAGTGACTGCTCCACTGTGCTTAGCCTGGTGACAGAGTGAGACTCCATCTCAAAAAAAAAAGACCTTACATGCACAGCGACAAACCACAGCCAGCCAGTTGTTTCTGAAGGAAGGATACTGGTTGATACTGCGCCCCTTATGTTTGAGGCACCCTCCCTCTTTTTTTTTTTTTTTTTTTTTTTTTGAGACGAAATTTTGCTCTTGTTACCCAGGCTGGAGTGCAATGGCACGATCTCGGCTCACTGCAACCTCCACCTCCTGGGTTCAAGCAATTCTCCTGCCTCAGCCTCCCAAATAGCTGGGACTACAGGCGCGTGCCACCACACGCAGCTAATTTTTGTATTTTTAGTAGAGACGGGGTTTCACCATGTTGACCAGGATGGTCTCGATCTCTTGACCACGTGATCCACCCGCCTTGGCCTCTCAAAAGTACTAGGATTATAGGCGTGAGCCACCGCGCCCGGCCTTTTTTTTTTTTTTTTTTTTTTTTAAGATGAAGTCTTCCTCTGTCACCCAGACTAGAGTGCAGTGGGGTGATCTCTGCTCACTGCAATCTCTGCCTCCCAGGTTCAAGCAATTCTCCTGCCTTAGTCTCCTGAATATCTGGGATTAGAGGTGCCTGCCACCATGCCCAGCTAATTTTTTACTTTTAGTAGAGATGGGGTTTCACTATGTTGACCAGGCTGGTCTTAAAACTCCTGACCTCAAGCGATCTGCCTGCCTCAGCCTCCCAAAATGCTGGGATTACAGCTGTGATGGGATTACAGCCATGAGCCACCGCCTGGCTGAGGCTCCCTCCCTTTCATGCTGAGGCACTGGGGATAGGTGACAGTGACTGAGGTCAGAGCCTTTTCTCACCTGCCCCTACTCTGCATCACGATCAGGTGGTGAAAACTCAAAGCAGTAATGTTTGCATTGGCCTGGATTTCCCGAAGTGTAACCAAGCCTCCATTTTCTTTTAATTTTCAGGTCAAAGTGGGAGATACATTGGATGTTCTCATTGGAGAGGATAAAGAAGCAGGAACAGAGACAGTTATGCGGATTCTCCTGAAAAAAGTGTTTGAAGAGAAGACTGAAAGTGACAAATTCAGAGTGTTGTTACGGCGGTGGAAAAACTTAAAGTTGCCTAAGAAGAGAATGTCTAAATAAATGGATTGCTTTATAGCAATAAAGCTGCTTTCTAGTGGTAGAGGAAAGGGTCAACTGAAAAGGAGGACGTTTTTATTAAAATAAAGTTCTCTTAGCGTTTGTGGAATCTGCTGAGCCATTTTGTGGAAATTGGAATTCATATCCGGAGACACTGCCCACGGCCTGCCCCTCCCCACCACTGCCCACCTTGATTCATGCTCCTTTGACCTCTTGTGAGAACCCTTTTGCCCAGAGTGAAACATGTGCAGAATGAACTAAGCCCCAGAGGGTTCTAAGGGCTTGCCTGCTGTTTCCCACATAAACTACCTCAGGAGTCACTATCAAATAAACTGGCCTTGTTGTCTCTTAGTGTTTTTATTTAAAATGTTCCCTGTCCAGCTGGGCCAGATTCCCAGGTTCAGGCTGCTTTAGGCAAAACCAAGCAAAGTCAAGGTACCTTCAGATGGTTAGGGGAGACCCTCTGGAAGAGCCCTTTCTCCCCTGCCCTTCTGAATTACCACCAGGGGCACTTAGCTCCCTTCAGTGTATCTTCACAAGTCTGGATAAATAAAATTGTTAAAACTAATTTCAAACCAGCTAGTTAGAGCCCATTTGAAATTGTTTGGGCCAGGGGGTCCATAAACTAAGGTGGCCAAAGACTTGTTTTTGTATCGCCCTTGAGCTAAGAATGGTTTTTATATCACACACCCAGAGATCCGTGGCCTACAAAATCTAAAATATTTACTTTAAAAAAAACATTTTGGCTGGGCGCAGTGGCTCACACCTCTAATCCCAGCATTTTGGGAGGCCCAGGCAGGCAGATCACCTGAGGTCAGGAGTTTGAGACCAGCCTGGCCAACATGGAGAAACCCCATCTCTACTAAAAATAGAAAATTAGCCAGATGTGGCGGCACATGCCTATAATCCCAGCTGCTGGAGAGGCTGAGGCAAGAGAATCACTTGAACCCGGGAGGCAGAGGTTGTGGTGAGCCGAGATCACACCATTGCACTCCAGACTGGGCAATGAGTGAAAGAAACTCCATCTCAAAAAAAATTTTTTGGCCGGGTGCAGTGGCTCAGGCCTGTAATCCCAGCACTTCAGGAGGCCGAGGCAGGCAGATCACCTGAGGTCAGGAGTTCAAGACCAGCCTGGCTAACATGGTAAAACCCTGTCTCTACTAAACAGAAAACTAGCTGGGCATGGTGGTGGGTGCCTATAATCCCAGCTACTTGGGAGGTTTAGACAAGAGAGTCACTTGAACCTGGGAGTCGGAGGTTGCAGTGAGTCAAGGTCATGCCATTGCACTCCAACCTGGACAAGAGTGAAACTCTGTCTCAAAATTAAAAAAAAAAACAAAAAACTTTTAGCTGAGAACAGTGGCTTACACCTGCAAACCCAGCATTTTGGGAGGCCAACGCAGGTGGATCGCTTAATCCTAGGAGTTTGAGACCAGCCTGAGGGCGACATAGTGAAACTTCCTCTCTCTTAAAAAAAAAAAAAAAAAACCGTACTTTTATAGAGGTGGGTCCTCTGTTGCCCAGGCTGTTTCCAACTTCTGGGCTCAGGTGACACTTCAGCTTACTAAAGTGCTGGGATTACAGGCATGAGCCATTGTGCTTGGCCAATGCCTAAAATATTTACTATCCACTTTACAGAAAAGTTTTTTGACCTGGTTTAGGGTAAAGGTTTAATTTTTGGGTGAAAGGAAATGTACCTGTTTTATCAGTGAAGAGAATAAAACCAATTCTAATTCTTAAAGTGTTATAAAAGGGATGAAAGCTTAACAGAGTAGTATGGTGGTGTAGACACACATAATGTACATTATCTAAGAAAGGACATATGGATAAATAGGCCAGTCTGTAGATTCCCAGGAGCTGTTTTATGGCACTTGAAGAGGTCTCATCTCCAATAAGATTTGTTAGATTATGTCACATCAAAAAGACTGGCAGACCCAGGCACGGTGACTCACACCTGTAATTCCAACACTTGAGGCTGAGGCAGGTGGATTACTTAAGGTGAGGAATTTGAGACCACCCTGGCCACCATGACAAAACTCCATCTCTAGTAAAAATACAAAAATTAGCCAGGCATGGTGGCACACGCCTGTAGTCTCAGCTACTTGGGAGACTGAGGCAGGAGAATTGCCTGAACCCAGGAGTCAGAGTTTGCAGTGAGCAGAGATCACACCCCTGCACTCCAGCCTGGCTGAGGAGGGAAAGACTCTGTCTACAAACAAAACAAAAAAGACAGAAAAACTCTGTATCTGGGCTCTTATTTGTCCCCTCCCCAGGAATTCCTGAGAATGCTGAATTAGCTGGCAGTGAAGAGAAACTTCTGTAGCCCAAAGCAGTGGGATATTTGGGCCCATGAGTCTGGAACTGATTAACCAGCTTGTTTTTCATAAGACTCAGGAAATTTTTTTTGTTTGTTTTTTTGAGATGGAATCTCTGTCACCCAGGCTGGAGTGCAATGCCACAGTCTCGGCTCACTGCAACCTCTGCCTCCCAGGTTCAAGTGATTCTCCTGCCTCAGCCTCTTGAGTAGCTGGGATTACAGGTGCCCGTCACCACGCCCTCCTAATTTTTGTATTTTTAGTAGAGATAGGGTTTCACCATGTTGGCCAGGCTGGTCTCAAACTCCTGACCTCATGATCTGCCCGCCTTGGCCTCCCAAAGTGTTGGGATTACAAGTGTGAGCCACCGCGCCCAGCTAATTGATATTTATTTGAAAAGTTGCCGGGCGCAGTGGCTCAAGCCTGTAATCCCAGCACTTTGGGAGGCCGAGGCAGGTGGATCACGAGGTCAAGAGATGGAGACCATCCTGGTCAACATGGTGAAACCCCATCTCTACTAAAAATACAAAAAAAAAATAAGCTGAGCACGGTGGCGCGCGCCTGTAGTCCCAGCTACTCTGGAGGCTGAGGCAGGAGAATTGCCTGAACCCAGGAGGTGGAGGTTGCAGTGGGCCGAGAATGCGCCATTGCACTCCAGCCTGGGTAACAAGAGCGAAACTCCGTCTCGGAAAAAAAAAAAAAAATTATCCCCCAGGAAAAGTAGTAAGTGCTATTTTTTTTTTGTTTGTTTGTTTGTTTGAGACGGAGTTTCGCTCGTTACCCAGACTGGAGTGCAATGGCGCGATCTCGGCCCACCGCAACCTCCGCCTCCTGGGTTCAGGCAATTCTCTTGCCTCAGCCTCCAGAGTAGCTGGGACTACAGGCACGCGCCACCATGCCCAGCTAATTTTTTGTATTTTTAGTAGAGACGGGGTTTCACCATGTTGACCAGGATGGTCTCGATCTCTTGACCTCGTGATCCACCCGCCTTGGCCTCCCAAAGTGCTGGGATTACAGGCTTGAGCCACCGCGCCTGGCTGCAACATGCACTTCTTATAACATCTTTCTTATACACCCAAGCCTCACAGCCTGCTGCTTCTGCCTTTTGGTAGCTGCTACCTCCCAATCTATAGCTTGGAATTCCTGGAAGGGCACTGAAACTGGACGTGGCTTTCCATTTACTATTCCTCTCAAAGACACTTTGCTGGCCCCCCCCCTTTTTTTTGTCATAAAGTTTCTCGTTCAACATTATTGCTAATGGATTGGGTATATATAATATCAAAAGTGGGATGGTCCTGAAGGCATGGATCTCAATAAAGTTTTGTTTTGTTTTTTTTTGAGACAAAGTCTTGCTCTGTTACACAAACTGGAGTGCAGTGGTGTGATATCAACTGATTGCAACCTCCACCTCCCAGCTTCAAGCGATTCTTGTCCCTCAGCCTCCCAAGTAGCTGGAACTACAGGTATACACCACCATGCTCAGCTAACTTTTTGTATTTTTAGGAGAGACAGGATCTCACCAGGCTGGTATGGAACTCCTGAGCTAAGGCAATCCGCCCACCTTGGCCTCCCAAAGTGCTAGGATTACAAGCGTGAGCCACTGCACCCGGCTCCAATACACTTCCCAATTCTAACAGAGATGTCATTTGCACTCAGTGGACCTTCTCTGGGACTTTTTTCTTTTGAGACAGAATCTCACTCTGTCACTCAGGCTGGAGTGCAATGGTGTGATCTCAGTTCACTGCAACCTCTGCCTCCCTGGTTCAAGCGATTATTCTGCCTCAGCCTCCCGAATAACTGAGATTACAGGTACCTGCCACCATGCCTGACTAATTTTTCATATTTTTCATAGAAACAGGGTTTTGCCATGTTGGCCAGGCTGGTCTTGAACTCCTGACCTCAGGTGATCCACCCACCTCAGCCTCCCAAAGTGCTGGGATTACAGGCATGAGCCACCACATGTGACCAATGGGACTTTCTTTATTCTCAAAGTTAGTGACACCTTCCCCAAGGCAGACAAGTGAAGTCCTGAAGATCACAGTCAAGGCTGGGCAACCGACAACAGTGTCGAAAATGGAGAATTTCTGTTTAGAGGTCAGGAAGGGACTCACTTCTGGAGCCTCACTCAGAGTAGTCACTATTGGACACTGCTTCACAGAATGCCTGGAGAATTTGTAGGAGAAATCCCTTAATTCTTTTTTTTTTCCAAGTAACCCTTATTTTACTTAAACCCTTTAATTCTTGATTCTAAGATAGACAAATGAAAGGTGAGGCTAAAATGATAGAGGCCAACTCTTTGGATTTAAGCAATGCTGTCAGTATTAACCACCTGACGACAAGGCACCTATCACCAGGGCCTTCCTTACCTATGCTGAAGTATACGCCTCTTTGCGCATGGAACTGTGCCTGGGCTAAGATTTCAGCTTGTCAAAACCAATACCCTGTGTCAGAAAGAGCACAAGCTACACCACAACATCAGGGCTCTTGAATTCTGCTGTCAGCACTCCTAGCACACTTAGAAACTATGTTTGTCTCTAGAGAAACAGGAGTCAGGAAACGCTGGAGTGCCCCAGGTGTGTCTCAGGCCAGAGCCCAGCCTGATTCCATCTGTGAAGGCTCAGCTGTCTTCACTGTGAGGAGTCGTCAAGCTTCCCATCTGGTTCCATCCACGTTCATCACCTGAGAGATACCAGGTTTTGTGCTGTTTACTACCAGAACCTTCTCTTCAAGCTCAAGTGGGCTTCATAACTATCAAGTCATGAGGTTGGGACTTGTTAGAATTCTGGATTGCTGC